TCTTGTGAGCCTGCTCCGGCTAGGAGGATTTCAGAACCATTTGAGTTTGTGTCTTCAAGTGAAACTGTAAGCTTCGAAAAGAACACAGATCCTTCAGTCGAGTGTGTTATCGAGCCGTTCAAGGGTGGATTTAACTTTTTGCAAGTACTGTTCCATATTTTTTAATTTGTTTAGGCTTCTCAGGTTGAATGCATTTCTGGAGCTCCAAACTTTCTAGTTGGGCTTGAATCCACGCACTTTTCTGAGTCATGCGCTCCAATTACTTTTGACACTAAAAACGAGTTTATTCAGCTTAAGGACGCTCATTACGAAGCATCTGTATTTCAAAGCGAAGGAAATAAAGGTCAAATCGCGCCGTCGGGCTTCCAGATAGACCAGAATATCGATGCAGAAGATATTTATGATTCGCGTGCTAAATCATCGTGCCCGAGTGCCGAGCCTATTGAACAAAAGCATTCAACATGGGCTGATATTTTGCGCGAAAATGACATGTCTTCACGGCCAAAGTCAAATAAATTTGACAGTCAACATTGTGAAAGTTTTGCTATCGGATCTGATGACACTTTTCGTCAATCCTGCCCTAGAATACATAATGTAATTCGTGGCTCGCCCAAGTTCGCGAATATTGGAAGCAACCAAGCAAATGAGAACAAGATTCACCAAGGCGTGTCAACAAACCCCACTAGTGAGTTCAGGGGATCGAGTTATCGTGGAAACCGAAGAGGTACATTCGCTGCTAACTCTTATAGGCAAAATCCTGGCAAGCATAGTATTTAATATTTCACTATTCCATTAGAACTTTTATACTAATTGAATTTTTTGTACATTTTTTTACTTAGCTGGACGTGGCAGGGGCGTATATCGTGACTCTGGTCAGGGCGATGTGTCACAATATCAACAGAGAGGCGCCATAGCCCAGACAATTTACTGAGCTCGCATTGGCATGCTGATTATTCAATTATTTCAGCACTTGCGACCTATGATCTACCTTCTCCGATTGTTTGACTCATTTCTTCTTTTTTTAAAGTCTCTTCCGAAGTTTTGAAATATTTACCCCAACTCATTTGTTAACGTTCTTGCAATGCATCGTTTTACTTCCCTATCCTACTCAGTAAAGCTGCCTTTCTTTGAATTTGCCTTTAAATATCTTCATACATTTTTTCGTTGCGCTAAATGTAGAAGTATTGATATCGTATTTATTAAAACCAAGACGTGACCCTCTGCTTGATCGCAATCTTTAGTATTGTGATGTTGCTTTTACCTCGCTTTTCGCAACTTGATTGGAGCGTCAGTGACCTGGAGCATTCCTAACCCTTTGTCTTTTTTCATAGTCTGTGTGTTCGAGTTTTGAGCCATTGACATTATACTGATAAGTTATAGCTCCACTAGTGCTTATACTTAATTGGCGATGCCGGCGAAAAGCCTGGGAATGTAACAATTCAAGGCTTTGATGCTAGAAATTACGAATGATACGGCGGTGGATGCAAGACTAGGCAAGTATCACAAGATATCGCTGACTCTTCGGGGGAGTTGCGAAAACCAGGTCCAACCATCACTGGAAATATCTATGTTTATCATGCACACTTTACTTGACTCTGGCTGAGGTTTTCATAATACCAGTATGCCTCTGCTTAATTGTCAAAATTTCTCAGTGTTGCATGTGCCCTGATTATTTTAGTATTATGTGTCCTTTCCATTTATTCATACTATTGAATCCAATAATATTTTATTTAAGATGTGGACGAACTCTCCATCGATTTATTAAGTACACAATCAAGGTAGGTAGGCTATAGCTATCGGGCGTGGGTTTTTTGATCCAGCTGATTTCTTTTTTGCATTGTGGCCATATTGTCACAATGGTCAAGGCAATAGGGAAGCTGGTTATGGAGGCACGTTAAGATCGTGTGAAAACATGAGTTAAAAAAGAAGACCTAATGAAATTCCGTTTGGTTTTGTGGACTTTCGTTGTTTGTGTAGCCGAGTGCAATGGGTGCATAAGCTCCCTGTCTGTAAATGGCGTACTGACAAAACAATACGGAATTTTGTGCTAATCGTATCTCGGTGGCGATTATTGTTTCTCTTTATGATCCTATCCAATAGCCAAAGTAATTCGCGAATAATTTCCTTCTATTCAAGGTGTGAGCTGTTCCGCTGATTTTCATGAGTGATCTAATCTCCTGACTATTAGTATATTATCGATATGCAGCTAAGCGCCTTGATTTAGACCAGTCTGGTGCCATTTGTGGGCTGTTTTTTAGTTCACTTCTCACGGGAATCAGCAGGTCTACTCACATGCGCCCACAAAACCTAATAGCAGCCAGATTTAGAAGGAGCTTACGAAACTTCTGTAGAAGGTTGGCATTATGGAGTGGTATTATTTTACCTATTTGCACTGCCGTTATGCCCCATTTACTTAGTAGTTCACCTATCTTTTCGAGTCCAGCTCAATATTTGTCAATGATGAAAGCATCGATACCTTAAACCTTACAACATTCCTGCCAGCAAATGAAGCAGCTCTCTTAGTTATCAATTTGTTCAGATCATCGATTAGCACAGCATGGGTAGGATTTTCTCGTAAGTTATTGTGCAGAGTTGATCTATATTAACACCTCTGTACGCGGAGCAGCGCAGGCTCTGTGATATGTTTAAAGTCAGAATTTTTGTGAAGTACAAATGCAGGTAAGGACTCAATGATGATGTTGACGAATTTAGTGATGAACTGTACGTATTCTACTTTCAATGGTAAATTGTACGAACAAAAATGAGGATCAGCTATGAGTCTGTGTTTATTTCCTATTTTGACCACTATATGCATGGCTCAATCAGAAATTCGCCGAGTAAAAGAAACAATTTTAGTTCACGAATTATTGCTTAGGAAAATGGATGATTACTTTGCCGATTGGTAACACAGCAAATCCCATATTTATTAATAAATTAAAATAATATCTCTTTAATGACGAATAGATTTTCATTAGAGACTGTCTGGACAGAGATAGGAAAGCCGAGACTTTAGTATTTACTACTTTTGCTGTCCTGCTTGCTTTCTAAGAAGATAAGGGATATAGTAAGGAAATCGGAGATAAAGACAGCTTTAAAAGAAACTAGCACATTTCACCTGGCTATAATTTCTTTTAGGGAGAAATATAATCCGCTAACGAGATCCGGATATTACAAGATTGCGTGCTCGCGTGATCAACCTTAAGGCTTTGCCATCAAGGCTTAATGATCCAAAGCCTAGCATTAATCGTTTTTGATCAGTCAGATTTAGGACCGGAAGTGTGTAGACGTTGATACACACACACACACTCGCGCAAAAGTAGCAGGACCAGTATCAAGGATATTTAGCCAAACCATTCCATGTACATATATGCCTATTCATTTCCGTTTTTAATTATGAGTATATGAGGTAAGATAAAGCTGTATAGTCTTCTTAACCCACTTGTGCCCGTACATCTAAGATTATATTCGACATTTAATCCAAACCAGGACTCACATTTCACATTTGTATTAGATTTGACAATCAAGCAAACTCTTACACTTTATTGAGTTTGATAGCGTCACTATTTTTGTTTTTATTAATTTTGAGTCTGCTTAATATTTAAATGGTATCCCATTAAGGAAACCATTAAGAAGAAAACAAGTGTCCTCAATATTTATGATTGGTCTGTTAAATATAATGAGATGTATTCACCCTATTTTGTCTGAGGTGATGAAGGACTGGTAGTAGGATTTTCCCACAATGATATGAGTTGAGTTGACGTTTCCATTAAATTTCACATAGCCTTGCTTTCCCAAAAG